CAAGGTGGGCCCTTTGTCCGAGCCCCAGCCCCGGCATTCTCCCCCCATATGCCCCCCCCACCCCCCCCCAGGGAAACCCCGTGCTGATGAACTCACAGGGATGTCCTGCAACACTGCCAGACTATACATCTACTCCTCTTTGGACAATTTATCGCTGTAATCTCCACTACAGCCACTGATCTGATTTGTCTGGGAATGGCATCTGCTGCATGGTATCATTCTGTATTCATTTACATTTGCCCAGAGACAGTACCCTTTTTTTTTTTTTTTAAGACACCAAAATAAAACAACATACAAACAACATTAAATGAATTAACCTATCCTCCCGTTTCTCCCAAACAAGATTAATAGAATTGCTCTACTCAGCTCTGACTCCCTACCACGTTTTCAAAGGATATTGTCTGAGCTCTTATTTCCTGAGCATGTGCATCAGAGCTCTCCTGTGTTTCAGAACAAAGAAAAAATTCTCTTTGTTGTCCTTTAACAACACTCTGAATGCAGCAATATATGAGATCAAGAGATGGTTCCTGCCTTCTTGAGCTTACCCTGAGTTTGCCTGGTTCCAGGTGCTTGGAAACATGTGGGATTTGTTTCGGTGGGCAGAGCTATGCTGAGAAAAACAAGATTGTTCCCTTCTCCAACTCCCATGAAGACCGCAAAGGAGAAATCACAGCATGGGTTTAAGCCTCCTTTCTGGCTTAGGGTCAGTGCCAGACTCCCTCCAGGATCCACTCAAACTGCTAGCCTAAGCTGCCTTGTCTTTATTGCTATTTAATTTGGGTCAGGCAAATGCAGTTATTGAGCATATCCCTTCTTTTTCTTCTCAGCTAAGAGGTGGCCTGTGTTCCTCAATAGCCAAGCAGAGCCCTGCAGTTTGCAGAGCTCACGGTGCTAGAGAGGTTCGCCTGTCAGCAGGAGATACAATTGTATGTGAGCTAACATTGGAGAGAGTAACAGTGGGCAGGGCTCAGGCAGCCGCCCTTGCACCCTCCTTAATATCTGTACTACCAACTGGTGCCTGGGGAAATCCCACACCAGACACTGAAACGCTGCGAAAAGCACGGGAAGAGCACAACAAGGAACACACTGATCTCCAGGATTTGCCTGATCAGCAGAGAGATGTCAGGGCTGGGCACGGAACATAGGCTAGCACTTTCTATTTCCATCCTTTAGTATGGTAACATAGGTTTAGAATAAAAAACTCTCCCTTGATTTAATTTAAAACAGGATAAAAGAAACAGAAAAAAAAAATCATCAAGAACTTTTTCTTTGCAAATGTGGAATCTGCACACAGGCAGATGGGGAAAACCAGCA